AACCCCCATGTGTGAAGTGGTTTGGGATCACTTTCAAAAAAACAATCAGTGACCACTCCCAAAATTGGCCACATTTAGAAGACAATTCACTAAGGATTTCTGTCAAATTTGTTACTAAAAGCAGGAGTTGGTTTTCTAATCCCTTATTTAAAATCACACAAACATGTACCATGATGACAATGACCCTCAAGAAAAAATTGGGTGGTGCAGCCACCCTTACACCCTAGTCAATATAATTGGATTCCCAGGTTAGCTTAATCCAGTTGTAAACTGAACCCAACCATCTGGTTCAATTTGACTAGAAATGCTTGTAATCCTAGAATTATAGCTAATCAGAAGTTTATGGGTAAGTTCATCTTCCAGCCAAACAATTTTTGATTATTAAATAAGACTAGGGAACTTGAGGCTCCGCTGCACACCTATCACTAAACAGGCAACTTAAATCACTGCCCCGCATCCTAAATTACCTTTTTCTACCTCCCCCACTAACCACAAACCCACAAAACTTACTCACAATACCCTGATCCATCACAACATTTCCTTAAAACTCCCAATTACAAATTACGGATCAAGCATCCCATTTTCGACAAAGTCCTTGCTGATCAATGGATTAGAGCTAATTCCATTTCCAGACCAAATTCCAGTAGCGTAAACCATCCTCGGTCAACAGGAACCTGCCTCCCCATACATGTATCCGGCCCTTACTTATAAATTCGAGTCAGTATCCACCCTCTGCAAGCACAGTTCCTCAATCTCCTGTTCTAGTTCATAACATTACTGCTGGTGCCATGTTGAGGAACTGGAAGAGTTAAGAGTTTGAAAAGTGGATGTATCAGTCTGGGAGTGGTGAAGTGTTGTGGAAAACGGTTGAGGTATCGGTCCTTTAAAGGAGCTGGATAGGAGTGAAACTGGGTCATGGAGTTGATTATGATCCGCAGTTGTAGGAAGATAATGAAGATGATTAGGATTCCGAGAGTTATGATCGGAATAGGTAAGTGGTTATTATTACAGGCGGTTAAAGGGAACAATAGGGGGCAGATAAGGAAAAAGAGATGGAAGTGAGTGATAGTCAATGACAGAGACCTAAGAAGATAACCATAAACAGAATAGAGGTGAAAGATGCGGCCAGCTAGATATTCTGGGGCTGACGATTGGAAAAGTAAAACAGGGTATGGCAACCAACTACCAGAAAATTTAAGGTATTGAGAGGTTAATCAAGGATACAGCAAGATTAGTATGGTGGTATTGTGTGAAAGTCAGAATAGGTGACTTGATAAATGCTGATCTGGAGCAGAACATGTGACTGGAGCCGGACAAGGAAATGAGAGAGTTGATGATGAGGCTGGAACTTTTGAATCTATTGTAGATTGGACGGATGAAGAAAAGAGCAGGCGTAAATGCATTAGCAAGTGGGATATTGGGAGTTGGAATGATTAAAGGAATGCATGGGAATTAGGATGGAAAACAACAAATGGAGAGGATAAGGAAGGAACTTGATGTATGGTTACATTGGAGAATTGATGCGGAGAACGGGAAAAGAAATGTTAATACTTTTGAGGCAGAGTTGGTGACTTGAAAAAGCCAAAGAAAAGTTGACCAGGAAGACTGGAAATTATCGGTGTGGTAGGGTGGAAGTAGGACCTGGTGGGTGGAAAAGGAAAATTGGAAGCACCAGTACAAATGCCGGTTATGGATAGATGAGGCTGGAAACACCGGGAAGGAGGCCGGTTGCGGATACATGAGGGAGAGTGTGTTGGGGCGGGGCAAAGGAACAGATTGTTTGAAAAGAAAATGGGAATGAATATTGCGAGAGCCTAGAGTAAAAAAGGAGTGGGACTGAGCGGGTTTGTTTTGCATCAAGGTTTTGAATCAGGCCAGGCTGTGTGTAGGGTATTGAACCATTACCATTTGTCCCTACACTATGCCGGGTTGTTGATGATTGATACTGTTGAAGGGGACTTCACAACAGCGCCGGTAATAAGAATTAGGCAGAAATGCTGCCCGTCAGAAGTGGTTTTCAACAAAATTATCTGTGTTTAATTTGCTGATTATGCAAGGTTGTTGGTAAAGTCTTAATGTGGGATCTTGCTTCTAACCTCCCCTACAAACCTTGCCACTTCCCTTAATGTAAAACAGCAGGCACAGCCTTGACACATTTTGGTTTCTGATTTCAAAATCTGGAGGACCTTAATCCCCTCATTTGTTATAATCTTGACTTGGTTTCAATCTTCTTAAAGTCCTCATGACATGTTGTCCTGCTCAAATTGGATTTTCACACATGGGTTATTTTCCATCTTATTCATTTTTCTGGATTCACTATCAATCTTAAGATTCATCTGATCAATTGAAAGGGCCGCAACTCCCTTGCGTAGGTACGTACATAAATACATGAAAGCTTAAACGGCTCATGTGTGATACAATGAAATTTCCAGGTGCCGCGGTCGCTGGGTCGCAACTGCGAGTCCGAAGTCCCGACTTTTGTGTGAGAGGGGCTTAGCTATAGCAAGTGCATACAAACCCCTTCCCGATGCTGATGCATAGAACCAAGTCTCAGGTTTCCGGGCAAGTCACCGTCGCCACCTGGGATGCCCATTATCAAATTTCCGCCAAACTTCAAAAGACATAGCAAGTCTCTCGGTCCCTGAAACCTGGTGACATTTCTCGTTCCTTGGAGAATCGATGGCTTTCCTTGCGGATTCCTTGTCGGATCGCCTACTATTTGCTATCCCCAAGAAAGGTAAGTGACAATGAACCGCATCTTCCTGATTTGTTGGTTCAAGCTTTGTATAACCTGAATACTGATCTTTGTCAAGTCTCTTCCAGGAAGACTTTACGAAAAGTGTTTAGAGCTTTTATCGGGCGCAGACATTCAGTTTAGTCGAAGTCATCGTCTAGATGTATGTCTGGTAGGAAACCACCAGATGGCCTTGTAAGTAGATTCCCACAATTTGATTTTTATAATCATTTTGGAAACGATATTGAATTTGATCTTCCGACTTCATTTCCATGGGTCCATGCAGAGTTTTCTTACCCGCAGCTGATATTCCTCGATTTGTTGGCGAAGGAAATGTTGATCTGGGCATCACCGGGCAAGACATGGTAGCCGAAGCAGATCTCAACGGATTGATCGAAGAAATTTGTCCGCTCAACTTCGGGAAATGCAGCCTACAAGTCCAGGTGCCGATCAACTCCGAGGTCAAAACTCTAGATCAGCTTTCAGGGAAGAAAATTGTCACGAGTTTTGAAGTCGTCAGCAAGTCGTTTTTCAAAGGATTGGACGACACAGTCAACGCCAGTCGCTCCGAAGGCCAACCCAAAGCCACTTTCATTGAATACATCGGCGGAAGTGTCGAAGCCGCTTGTGCATTAGGCTTGGCTGATGGGATCGTGGACCTTGTGGGTAAGCTGACGGTTCTAGGCATATTTAAAGCCGTTCTCTCAGTTTGTTCCTGAAAAAAGCTAACTCCGGGCGGCTTCCATGTGCAGAATCCGGTGCTACTATGCGTGCCGCGGGTCTACATCCCATCCACACAATCATGACTTCGGAGGCCGTGCTGATTAAATCGACCAGGCCTCCAAGGGGTGAAATCCATCAACGATTAATCGATTTGATCACCAGTCGTATCCAGGGGGTCGTCGCAGCCAATCGCTATGTACTCTGCCAATATAACATTACCCGGGTCCGACTACCGGAAGCCCTGACAATAACGCCAGGCAGACGCTCTGCCACTGTGAGCCCCCTGGATGATAACGAATGGGTGGCCGTATCGGCCATGGTCTTCAAAAAGGATAGCGCAGATACAATGGATAAGCTACAAGCACTTGGCGCTTGCGATATCTTTCTGCTCGGCTTGGTGAGTCTCTCAACAGTTTTCCCTCAGAGTAAGGATTGGAAAGACGATGCCGACCTGACTTGATTTATTTACATTCTCCAGGAGAACTGTCGAGTCTAGAGCTGATGCATGTTACCTCAAACTTTTGGATATACCCACTTCTTGGAAATCGAATCGCGGAAATTGGACTTTTGTTTTCTTCTCATCCTCGCCGATCCCCGCTTATATCGTGTCTAAGGTTGGCTTGCTCGTCCTATCTCTTGTGTGCTCTAAAGATTCGATCACGGATCGGACTCGTCTAAAAAATTGTAAATGGCTTGCAACTGAGCCTCTACACTTGGATTCCCATCTCATTATTCATCACAAAACAAGCTTGACTTCGCGATTTGTACTCTCTAATGTAAACCAATCCTGATTCGTCCAGGAGTTATTTCTAAACAAGACTGGAATATACACGTCTGATTCTTGCTTCTGTGTGGGCTCAAGTTATCACGAAACATCCATTGAGAGACTAAGGAATCTTTCCTGATTTTCCATTGATGGGGTCTGGTGACAATACAGGGAGCTGGCTTAAGTCCTTGATTCACTAACGACAAATCTATCCATAATTCATCCATCGGAACTTCATGTTATCAACTTCCAAAGTATCATTTTTTTTTTCAATCCTTGATTTCAAAACTGGGTAGTTCACGTCATGCCCCTTGTGCGCAGACAAAATATTCGATTGCTTTGCTCAGGTTCCTCGTCTTCATTGGAGGATGAGGGCGAATACTAGTTTTGCAACTATGGAAGTGGATTGCAGTGAATTCATGTGAACAGCCGCAGACTTACTCGGAAATCATTAACTCATCGTTTCTCTGGAGAAAAGAATCAAAAAATGCTCAATGAAATCCCACGATTCTTCATTCCAAGATGTAACTCGGGTCAAGTTGGCAGCTTCAATGACATTTCTAGCTTATCAACCCACCCAGCGGAACAGTCCTGATTGTGCTTATTGCAAGACCCAAGCCCGTCCAGCACGTATATCTGTAGGATACCTCATCAATGGAAGAGTTAGAATGTGTCATATGCATGTCTTGAGAGAGCTTGTGGACGGGATCTGAGTAGACACCGGTCTGCCGTTATTCGATTGGAATCCCCATCATCATGAGATCAACCCCAGACTGTCTTTGGACAACCCAATCACAATCTCAACACAATCCCCTTCTTAGCCGACTCATAGATGTGCTAACAGCCAGTCGTCGTTCCAAATAGTGTCCGGAGTGTGTTGGCTTGACACGCGTTTCGGATGGCAGGACAACATTGCCGCAACCCCTCCTTGGCGTCGGCCTCTCCCTGCCGTCATGTACAGGGCACACACCAATGCGGTCGAACAACAAAATCGACCCGTGGTGTGCCTTCCTGGCTACCATGTCTTTCTTGTTTTTTTTTCATCACCTCCCCTTTTCTATCAAGACGGATCAGATACCTAGCAAGCAACCGCCTCCACTTGCAATCTCATTCCCCAACCGTCATTGGCTACTGAGGACCAATTATTCAGTAAGCTACGTTCTGATATCCTCTCTTTGATGTGTCTAGTAGGGGAGACCAAGCGTTCACTTACGACCCATTAACATATTGGCTTCTCAGGTGTTGTGCCAACAGTCAATTGAATCTCTAGGTTGGAATCTGCTCGCTACCTGGTACCGATTATCTCGTAAGATACCCTTTGACATATCTTATACACTGAAGCACATCAATCGATCTGCAGGTCTACATATCCCTTTAGTTAGCTTTGCTATTTATCTAACAGTGATCCAGCAGGAGAAACAGATAACAAGATCCAATAAACTGATCTCCATTATTTTATTATTGATGTTCCTCTAGTAAACCCTCAAAATGGCCAACTCATGTGATCCTCAATTCTTTCCAATGGGCAAAATGGCCAACACATGTGATCCCCAGTTCTTTCAACCGGGCAAAATGGCCAACTTATTTGATCCCCAATTCTTTCAACCGGGAAAAACGGCCAACACATGTGATTCCCAATTCTTTCAACCGGCAAGAGCTTTTACCAAACAAAAACTCTTAGAAGGTAGCCCATCATCCGACAAGAGCAGCTCTTCTACCACCAGATCCCAAGACACGGAATTCATACCTAAAACTGCGACCAAGTTTGGTGGAGTCATTCGAATCGGACCGGGACTCTGGAATAGCGTATACCGTTTGAGCAGTAGGGGTGTTGAGTTTTGCCCTGAACATGAAGCAAGTACAATGCCTGCTCTCTCCTCAGACCAAATGGCAGGTGTTCGATTGCTTGAACAGGTAAGCAGTTCTTCCCTTTGCTAGGTATTTCCAATCATCCAATTACTGTTTCACTCTTCCACCACATCATATTTCATCTTCTCAGTTTTTCTTTTGTCCCCCACACTTCCACTGATAAGCCACAAAAATTCCAACCTTTTTCTTTGTTGAGTACGTTTAAGCCAGAGTTGCTTTTGGCTTTGGGTAGTGCAGCCAAATCAGTCGGCCCATTATATAAAGGTTTAACTTGGATTCAAACTGCCCAATACATCGGTGTATTCGAGAATATCCACATTGCAATTTCTTGCAACCATCAACCCAACACACGACACATTGGAGAGATTATGAGTATTGATTTTGGGTGTGAAGTGGTCACCACTGGTAAGTGAATGTTTATGTGGTGAAATTAGAACTCTTGAATGCCGCTGAACATCAACTTCACTTCTCTAACATCAACTTCACTTCTCTTTGTCAGAGGGCCCTTCATCATATGCTTGCCCTGCAAAGGTCATCCACATTGAACCGTCTATGGATATGATCTTGATGGCCATCACCAGTTGGACAACACCCTGTCCCACAGCACTTACTCCAACCTCCAATCATAAACTCAGCATCAATGACACAGTTTATGCAATTGGCTACAATCAAGTCCCAACAGCAGAAGACTTGCAACCTTTTAAAAATTATCAGACATCAATCTTCAATCAATCATCCTTGGCAATTGAAGAGGCCCGTCGGTGCTTGAAATCGGAATACCGAATGGTTTCTGTTGGGAATGTCAAATTGGTTGATGAATCAAAAAAAAAGTTTCACATTTCTGCTTCCCTTTGGTATGGTTCATCTGGCTCGCCTATCTTTGCGCTAAGCGGGGGATCCTTACAAAACATTGGTTATGGTATGTTTTCTATCCCTTTTACATCCAGTCATGAAGCATATCCACACATTCATCACTCTCTCCTTTGATTTATTAGTTATTGGTGGGGATGCTGCCAACCAGAATGTTGCTCACTTCTACCTCCCGGTATTAGAAGCAGTGATTAAAGCTGCAGTTTCAAAAAACAGTTGGGTTTTACAACGTCGAGGATAAACTGTAATAGCTATATCCCAATTTGGATGATGTTTCTTCTTTTTTTGTTCTCCATTTTCAAGACATTTTTGTTCAAATTCAACTCATCATTTTTTGTGAGTAGAACAAACCCAATCTCTTGCTCTTCTCGCAAATGAAATCATCTTAACCTCTCTACTTGGTGGTTCAATTTTCTCTCCCTTTTCAAGACAAATTTTCTCTCATTTCCAAAGAAAACCAATCAACTGCTACCATGTTCATCTCATTTTTTCCACCAATTTTTTTTGCTTTACTCAATTTCTTTTCTGGTCAATGAAATAAACTTGATCTCCGCTATTTCTTTCTTTTCATGAATCATGTCAAGTACTTTCTTTTGTGTCTACAAACTGGTATTAAGAATAAAATTGAAATCAGTTTTCTTGGTAAGAGTTGTCTCATAAAGGAAATTCCTTTTGTTTGCAAAAACCTAGTAAAAAGAATGGGTTTTGCAAAGGACGTGGTTAAGCCAAGGATATTGCTTACAACATGGGGGTTGAGTAGAGTAGAGAAATGATTCACTTTTCAACCAAAGAAATGCTACCTGATATGTTGACCAAGCCACTTGCCAGAATTCTCCTTGAGTGCCATAAGGAAATGTTTGGAATATGTAGTTGCTTAATTTTTTTTATCAATCTTTTGCTCTCTGATTATTTTGATTACTATCTATTTCTATTTCCACCGCCCCATTTGGCAGTGGCATAAATATATATAGGTGTAATATTGCTATTATGGGGCTGAAGATGTCCTCATAATTTGAATCTGATGACAAGATTAATGAGATCAGGGGTGCATGTTGCCTGTAAAAAAATAGATATTTGATTCGGAATGGTTTGGTTCTTATCTAATTGATTGGGCTATAACACCTATATTTATGCCACTACCAAACAGGGCCTACTTCTTTTTTTTCTTCTGTTCATTTCTGCATGTCAGGTTACGCGGCCAAACAGGTTTTACTTTCCTCAAACTAGAAGACTGGAGGGTGAAGAAACTTACAATTCTTCATTCCAATACCTCGGGGCAAGTAGGCAGCTTCAATGGCATTTCTAGTTTATCAATCAACCGAGAGAAACAGTCATCAATTGACCTTGGTTGAAGACCAAGTCCCAAGCCCGTTCAGCACGTATGTTGTACCACATTAATGGAAGAGTCAGACTGTGTGATATGCATGCCTTGGGAGAGCTTGTGGACGGGATCTGAGTAGACACAGGTCTGCCGTTATCCAAATAGAATCCCCCATCATCATGAGTCTATGAGATGAACCGCAGACTGTCTTTGGGACACCCAACGCGAATCTCAACACAATCATATTCCTAGCCGGCTCAAAGATGGGCTAACAGCGAATCGTGATTCAAACTGCGTAGATTGGGTGTAGGTTTTGGCTTGGAAGAAATCTTGTAGAAGTTGGTGAGTTATGGTTCATTACATAAGGTATGATCATCGTCTCCCATCCACGCTGATGAGGCCCTCCAGCTCCTCCGCTCTCCTCCACCTACGGTGCTGACTTTCTTACACCTCGTGTTCTGGCACAGTCTGGTTCCAGATCAACAAGCCGAAAAAACAAAAGTGATGACGAAGCACTCAGCACATAAATCTGTACATGAGAGCCAGAGGTCCGGTAATGCATGCTTGGTAGAAGGCTCCTCTTTACATCCGCTTTTTCATAGGAAAAACCGGGCAGCTCGTAGTCCAGGCCTTAGAGTCTGAAAGCCTATTGTTCCGGCCTGTCCCAAGTCTACATGTATTGCGCTCAAGCGATGCGAGGTGTTGGGAGGAGGCCAGGTGGCACTGCCACATGCCAAGAAAGCGAGACTCTAGGGGCCTGGCGGCGAGGCTGGGCGAAGACAACGAGCCATCGAGCCTTGGATATTTCGTACTATGTACCCGACGGGGTATGAGTCATTGCTGAAACTGTGGATACCATAGCGCAGGAAATGAATGTAACTGTTCCGCCCGCCTTAGAGGAGGTTCATCGCCATCTTTTCTTTGTGACGAGTCACCGACACCGATTTTTTTCAGGTGCCATGTCATGACGGGGGCCCGGGCCTTCGACTTCCGACCTGTTAAAACTTGTAAGTTTGCGACGCTAGATTTACCGGGGTAGTTGAAACTCAGTTTCAGACTCACATCGAAACAAAAACTCCTCGTTTCAAGTTTCCTTTTCACAAATCTTCTCTCTTCGCCCCGCACTTTCATTTGCTTGGGTCACTATGTATGATGGGTACTTCAAGACTAGCACCACGCAGTGTCAAACGTCCTGAGCTTCTTACCTCCCCTTGCCTATCGGTCCCTAATTTTCGGGGTTTCTCTGTGTTAGTTTCTAGCTTCCAAGGCTGTACTCATCATATCGTGTCAACTCTTGCTAAGTGGAACTTTCCATTTTGATGATACTAGGATTTTGGGCTCAAACCGATTGCAAACAGAAGTGTTTCCAGCGAAATCAAGAATCCCTTTCTATCCTAGGCTGAACTTGTCTACCGTCTGTTTTGGGATCACCTTGCAAGTTGCACCGTGAAGCGCTTTCCCCACGAGTTACATCTCCACGTCCAGGAACATGCACTGAAGATTCATCCGCTACACGGCACTCTGCCATCTGTCCTTGCCGCCTTAAGCTCCATTACATAGCTCCTCGACAATTTCCTCTTAATCTCACGGCGACAAAAACCCCTGCCACACTATTGGAAGCCATGACATCTGTTAACCATTCTCGACAATACGTCATGTCCGACTCCTCCTCATCTAACCGTCCTCAACAATTGAACTCCGCCCGCACTCCGGGAGAGGGGGTGAGCACACCTCTTCCCTGTCTCACTACCCCCCCCCCCCCGCTAAAAATTTGGAGAGACGTTCCTTACTTACTATTTTCGGGATGTCCCAAATGCCTTCTTGCACCAGTATCCTTTTCCCAGGACACCTCGACCGCAGGGAAATCTAACAGTCTCTGTATCAAAAAATCCAACAGAGATCCCTCCTTCGCCAACCACGCCCCACCAAAGTTCAATACGATCATCCTCGCCTAGCTCTCCAATTATCGATACAGAAGTGTTCAAACAGCTTTTGGCTATGGAGGATGAAAATTCTTCGTTCAGCTTCACCCACGGGTTGATTGATCTGTATTACGAAGATGGGAGTAGAACATTGGATCAGATGAGGTGTGCCTTGTAAGTCAATTTCGGCAAAATAAATTGGCGAAACTTCAAATCTTGATGGCAACTAGCTGATTCACCTACACGCCATCATCACCGTAATAGGCAGCCTTCGGATTACTCCACATTGGCTAGACTGGCACATTTCTTACGCGGCTCAGTGAGTGCACATGGATTCTCAATTTGATTAGGCAACTGATTTATATATCAATATATATTATTTTAGGCAGCCTCCGTCGGTATTATTCAAGTCGCCCGAATTTGTGAATTAATTGAAATGCGGATTATCTCCCAACAACAGTCACTCAACAAGGAATGGTTCGAATCCCAAATCGCAGCCATTGAGCAAGCCCATGTGATCTCACAGCAGTGGTTTCGTGACTTTTACAATCAACAATGAATCCAGAGCAGAAACTTCAGCTCTCTGATCCAGAAAAAAAAGCAGGGATTATCAATCCCCGGAAGAAAAAATAATATCACATGGAAGTAGCAATCACAGTAGCCCCTCATATATACCCCATATTGCCTTATTTTATGTCAATGGACAATTTTTCACTCAGTTTTACTACATCATGGTCTATTCTCTTTGTCTGTTCATTTGGATGCAACATATTATAATTTAATTTTCTTGATTTCTCGCGCAATGCTTAAAAACACCATTGATTCTAAGAACTGAATGCGGTAGAACCCCTTGAACCCAAAACAAATCACCACTTTTTTCGGATTCGATGATCTGGAATCTTCAAGGTATCAGTCAAGCTTCTGGAGACCAATCAAAGTCTGTCATCCGTTGAGAAAGAGATTCATCGGCTGGAAACTTTGAAATTTGCCTTGACCTACATGAAAAAACTTGACAAAGGCTTCTTCAAAAGTGAAAATTAGAGAGAATATTTGCTCACATTGTAAGACAGAACCCAGGGATCAATGTACACCAAACAAAAATAAATCCGGGAAAATGACCCACTCAAGTTCATCTGTTTAAATTCAGGGAAATAAATGCCCCAATATTGTCTTAGTTTCCCTAGAAATGAGCACTGCCTTTTTTGATCCTCTAAAACTACTTCTCCACTGTTTGAAGATCACAAAACGTTTTTTTCAAACTCATTTTTTTGTTTTCTATTTTACTTGAGAACCAATGAAATTCTTGAACAAAATATAACATTACCAGATTCAAAATTTTGGAACCTAACCATGGAGTGTTTATGTTTTCAATCTGAGCCAATTCTTGTCAAGCTTCATTTTTCATTTTTAATCAGTTTCCAAACCCTGCGTTGGTATTGATTTTCCTGAAAACTGTGTGTGAATCAGGGAAATTTCAAATTTCATGTCCATTGTGATTTTTTTCTGGGCTAAATAGAGATAAAAAGATTTAGTTGGCTCTCCAAGCCATTTTTGATGAAGAAGAAGAAGAAAACAACAATGGATCAATCGGTATTGAGTACACCGTTGGGCCGTCCAATGGATTACTAAATACGCACTTATAATGGGTATAGTCTTTCTGTTACTCATTGTGCTCTCAATCTTATCAAGAATTTACTGTGAATTAGGTTTTTTTCTCTGACTGGTACAAATCTTTTTCAATTTTGATCTCTTTCTCACTTCAATATTGAAACAGGTAGCAGAAGCTTCAAGAAGATTTGAAGCATGTTTGAAATGAAATCGTTTTTCTCAGAATTTAAATTCAACCAAAGAAAATGTTTGTGACAACAGCCAATAAGCTACCACCATTGTAGAGGCTAGCTTGACGAGTAAAACGCGAGTCCTTTAAGTCGCCCCAAACATATTGACATCCTGAGAAAAGAAGTCCCAAGGCTAAGACACACGCGATTTGTGGGCCCTTTTGGAGGCTTGTGGTATGATTTTATTCCAAAGGGAACCGTCTTTTCTTTAAATATCACGACAATGTGTAAAATGTTTATGATTAAGCATTACTGATTAGAAATTGCTACGCGCTGATAAGTTGATTTTGTTGAAAAAATAAAACCAAATTAGTAGAAGTACTGAGAGAGTTAAATAAATTAAAGGAGTGTGTAATACTAAGGTTAGAAACGAACTTCGCCGGTGGAAGCTTAGGGAATGAATCGGAAATGAAGCAAGAGAGTGAATAGAAAGTTGAATTCGATACAACAGCGTTGGTGATATAGCGCTGTAAACGGAGTCCGTGTGGGCCTATTGGGAGGGGGGAAGATAACGAGTGTAGAGTCCATCGTCCTTCGTCGACTATTCAAAGCAGTTTTCCTTCCTTTTTGACGTGTTCCTTGTCCTCCTCCTCCTCCTCCTTCTTCTTCTTAGAACAAAATTTCCGACAAAGGTTTTTCTTGAAGGACGAAGCTCGATGATGTAGGTGGGCTTTGACGGATTTATTTGTGGAAGAAGATAGATCGGTCGAATGGGATGAAAGTTTTGAGCTCGAATCAGTGCAACCACCGGCGGATCCGACTTGGTCGACTTTGACTTCGTTGAAGAAAGGAATGTAAGATAATCTTGCCGCAATCAATGCAAGCACTGCGTTGACGTCAATTTGTCCGGATGGGAAAAGGTATTGATTCAAGAGTTTGGGTGTATAGACGTGGAAATTGTTAATGTCCTGCTTGCTGATCGCGGCCCTCACATCGTCAATCTGATTGATCGTCGTCGTTATCAAGTAGCCCTCCGCAATTGACGATAGATAGATGATCGTAAAACTTAGAAAGATCACTAAGGGCTCGAGCCGGGCTCTCATGATCCTAAAGAACGAATTTCACAGAAGCTTTGAATTCATCAGATGACGGAAAATCTTGTGCGGGGTAATTTAAAAGAATTAAGATTATATATAGGATGTTTTACTATAGGATTCTTGGAGGGAGAAAAGAGAGACGATGGTTTTCTACATACTGGGTCCAAGGAGCCACGAACTTTTGTATGCGGGCAAGGGAGGAGATAGGCAACATTCTTGAGGGCACAGAGAAATGGGAGGGTTGTGTAACGTTCCAGAAACGCGACGACCTATTGCCTACTCCGCAGCCGTGATGAGAGAAGAGAGAGAGAGAAAAAAAAATCAAGGAGTTGCCTCCGAGTTATGCTCCGAGTGGGCATTCGTGCATTGGGAACACCACCCGTGTTTGAGCTTTGGATACCGGGTGCCAAATCTGGTCAGGCACACCCTGGCACACCCACTGTTCTTGTCGTCTGGAAGCTGTATATGTTCAATTCGTCTCCAACGATTTCAAAAAATTGGCATTCTTTTTTCTTAAAGGAGGAGCTCGGATCGAATACCGGAAGGTCTGTATGCCGGATTCAATGGGACCCGGTTCTCTTAGCGTGAAACGCTCTCTCGAACTTAGGGGCGACTCCGCACCTCGAATGGGTTGAACTTCTGACCATTCGTCCATACTCAGACCCTCCTTGGCCGCGTGACTTATAAACAGCTTGGTTAACAGACTGTACTTACGAAATTTTTGGACGCGCCAGGCAAATATTATTTGCATTCGTTGCAAGGAATATACAAGAACAGGATTTAAGAAAGCCAAAAAGATACAACACTGTGAAATAAAAATATCAAGCAACGGCGTGGATGAAAGGGTGAAGAAAACTTACAGAAACAGAAGCAACAGCAAAAACCACAACGAAACCAGAGAAAAAACTCAAAAATGGATCAAAATGGGAAGGAGATAACCAGCAGTACATCCTATTAGTCAAATGATACTGATGCAAAAATAAGCAAATATTAAATGAAGCATATGTCATTTTTTTGCTTTGACATATGAATTTTTCTCTTGAGATTCCCAACCAAGAAGTGTTAAAAATTTATGTGCTTTCACAAAAACCTCGAAAATGCTGATGTGATGTATTTTGTAGTACAAGATAGTAAAACCGCATTTCCGGGTCCGGGTTGAGGAGTGAGGAAAGTCTTGGCGACACTCCGGGATGCACCCGCACGCTCTACATCACACGTGTCTTGACTCATTAACACGTGTCCTCTGTACATCTGCAGTACATATTTTACATCTTTTCTACATGAGAACGTGTCTTCACTATACATAGAGAGGTCCTGTGAGTTTCCTCTCCCGACCCGGTCCGTCGTTCGTTTCAGGGCGCGGCGGGTGCGCTAGGGGCGGCTTGACTTTGTAGGCTCCGAAGAACCAAGGGGCTTTCCCGACTCCCCGAGTCCCCGAGTGGCTGATGTGTGAAATGTGATCGGGGTGGGTTCATGCGTATGTATGCGATGACGTCACTTGGTTATCCGAACCCCGCGGGTGGGATGGGCCAATGTACCATAATTGGGTTGCAGGTGATCAATGGTATTCATAGTCTGCCAATTACGGCAATGAAGCCTGGATTGACCTGCAAGTGAAGCAGAACGAACTCATATTTAACATCGAGAACAGACAAGGACATTGGAGCATAACAAAATTTGGTAAAAAAAACCTTTATCAGTGAAGCTCCTACCATGTCCAACCAGCAACCATCCACCTCGAGCCCAAACGACCGACTGCAACAGATCGTCAACCATTTCGATTCAAGAAACTCGAGCAAAAAATTGTCCGGTAAGGTAAATCAAAAGAAAAAAAACATTCCATACTTGTTTAATTGTTTTGATTAACTTGTCGAAACTGATTGTGATTCGGTTGAATTTGGCGATTATGTAGGTCTGCATCCTCACGGGCATCGGTCATGAGCTAGGAATCGGGTAAGACTGATCTCGTCCACGGAATCCTCCTGATGCGCTCATCTGTGTATCTGTCTTCCGGTGACTGATTTGAAGATCTATATACTACTTTTAGGTGGGCTACCGCAGTCCTGTTTGCTAAAGAAGGTTAGTTTTTTCTTCGTTTCTTCTTCATCACGTCCGGTTTATGTGGCTGACTGAAGAAGTCTTTGGAAACTTTTGACACACACACACATCCAGATGCCAAACATTTATATTTGCTCGATCTCAAGGGAGATAAATTCCCCGCCTTAGTCAAACATCTCAAAGAGCTTAATCCGAAGATTGGTGTGAGTAGCAAGATTTGATTATTATTATTTTTTATTTCTTTCTTGGAAACTAAACCTAGGGGTTTGGGGTTATAACCTTTGGATTGATTTCGGTGTATGTATGTCAATATATAGCTGTCAACTATTAGCGGTGATGCAGCAGAAGAAAGTGTGGTTCGATCGGTCTGTCAAAAAGCGATAGACGAACAAGGCCGACTGGATGTGTTTTTCGCAAATGTGAGGAGACGAAGAAAGGCTAGGGTTTCCGAGGAGCTAATTTGAAACTGAGTGAAATTGATCCAACAGGCAGGAGTGGTAGGAGCGGCGCATATTGGCAAGACGAGTTACGAGACGAGCGAGAGGGTGATTCGGATCAACACGATGTCGTGTTGGCTAGCATTGAAGTATGCGTCGGATGCGATGTTGAAAGCAGGCAAAGGGGGGAGCATCATCTTTACCTCGTCGGCAGCAGGGCTTCGATCGGGGGCGGGTTCGACGGAGTATTCGGCCTCCAAGGCCGCCGTGATCTCGTTGGCCGCCACCGGCGCGAACGCTTATCCTGGCGCTGCAATCAGAGTCAATGCCGTCTGTCCTGGAATGATCCAGACCCAGATGACCGGCCCGGTCTTCCAAATGGCCAAGGATAAATCCAAGATCGGCCAGTTGTGTCCGCTCAGACGTTATGCGGTGCCCGATGAAGTGGCTAGTGTTGTCTTGTTCTTGGCTAGTGATGATTCTTCTTGTGAGCTCAAATTAGGTCTCTATATCGTATCGAAGGTTGAACTCGTAAGAATTCTGATTTGGATCTCCCTTTCAATAGACGTCACTGGGACAGCCATTCCAGTCGACGGAGGTCTTGCCAGCTCGTTACCAGTAGTAAGCATATATTTCTCCCTTTCGTCGCCATCGATAACTAACCTTCACTATTAAACCTCTTGGATTGTAGATTCCTGGAAGACAGTATTAAACAAGAGACAAGCATCAATCGTGGTTCCACTTATTTCACTTTCCCTTCACAGTCAACTTGTTGTATGTATCATTAACGTGTACTTTCAAGCTGGACAATTCGTGTCTCTTCTAACTCACATGTACACTCTTATTCCTTGCTGGATATCATAAACACCTCATCAGACAAAATTAAATCAATTTAAATCACAGGCATGTTGTTGTGTAATTCAGATTCCATTGATCAAGGAAAGATTTTGTTTGGATTATATGTGTTGATGTTATGATTTTCTCTAGCTAGTGAGACTGAGCTAAAAATTGAAAATCATGAATCACTAAATCCATAGTCAAGTGCATAACAGATTCTTGATAAATCACGAAATCTATAGTCAAGTACTTTTATGCAAAGCCTGTCCATGATGGTCCAGTTTTTTGAGTGTTTCTCTTCCTCCCTTGAATTAGATCGATAATCAACGCAATCTATACATCTATATATATATATATACAAAAGTTGGAGTAGGGTTTTGGATTGACTTGTTGACATGGTTTCGGGTGTCGGAATGTAGACTCTCTGGTCGATGTGCAATGTGCATGTAACGAGACGTGATCGATGAGACCAACGCTCAGAAATCTGGGTGTGTTTGTAGCATGGATGTCGACATCCACCGATACATACATAATATCCTCCCCACAAACAAAAAACCTTACAAAAAAACAAAAACAACCAACTAATGATACTAATAAAAAAAAAAAAAAAAAAAAAAAAAACAAGTTCTATGAATGAAAAAAAATATATAGAGGAGATAAGGTGATGGAATGTATATGTGTGTGTGTGTGGAAGGGGTCAAGAAGAAAAAGGAGACGGGGACGGGGATATTAGGTGGGAACGAAGGGGACGAATTGGTAGTTCAAGAGGGACTGGATGGGGTCGAGGGAGTCTGGGGCGGTAGCAAACTGGAGGGGAAGGTCTTGTTGTCCGGGCGGGGCCTGGGAGGAGAGATTAAAGGGCGTCGCAACGGGAGAGATGAAAGACGAAGAAGAGGAGGCGGAGGAGGGGGGAAAGAAGAAGCGGAAGAGAGGGGAGGATCGGAGCGGATGCAAGAGCGAGGGGAGAAGAGAGTAGGAGGAGGAGGAGTGAGGATGGGGATGGTGGAAGGGATGCAAGAAGGCCGGGAAGCCGGCGGCCCAGTCGGCCAGAAACCGGGCCAGTTCGACGACGCCTTCGTAGATCCCTCCATGCTCGGGATCGTCGAGCCGATGGGCCCCTGTCTGGCTCCTGAGCACGCGGGCCAGACGGTCGCGACTCATGTAGCTCAGACTGCCGGACACGATCATCGATGTCGAGGTCGTGCTCGTTGTGGAGGGATGGCCGGCGCCGCCGACGACGACGCTGGTGGGGGTGGAAGATAGAGTGGATTGGAGCACAAGGTTGTAACTGCGGATGGTCGATAAACTGGTTGGTTTAAGAGTCAAGGTAAGTGATCGTCAGTAGAGATAGATGGGTAAATGAGAGGGGCGGGGGGAAGAAGAGAGACAGACTGGAGAACCATCCACAAACAAGCGGCTTGGAAGAGCAGAGCGAGAAGCGAAACCTTCCAATGGCGACGGATCCAACACGGGACGTGACGGTCGGCCACACGGGGCTCTCTTCTGTTGACAGTCGTCCTCGTTGGAGACGCTTGTTGTCCGGAATTCGAAAAGAAGAAGGTTTTGAGGACAGAGAGCAGACGAGACGGGCGCGAATGGAGCGAGTGTGGAGGACAGAGGTCGTCCAGCTTGGCCTGGATCCGCCGCCGCTCTTCTTCCACTCTCTCCGAACTTCGCATCAACTCCTCCAACTCCTTGGCACTCTTCTCTTGCGTCAAGAGCTCCGCCTTCTTCGCCTGGATCGTCTTCTTCTTCTCTACTTTGTTATTGGCATGGTTGCTGTTCATCGAAAACCTATAAATTTCCGTCCGTCGTTGGAATTTGAATAACAATGAGTAATCATTATGCTTAGAAAAGAGAGACGCAAGATGGATAAAAAAAAAAGACTGACGTATCCGCCAAAACCTCGATCGGTTTTTTATCGACAATGAATTCGATGACAGCGGCGGCCAAGTCCTTCAAAGTTTTTCCCGGGCCATTCCCACCGCCATCAGTGGTCTGAGTAGTAGTAGTCGAAGGCGGGCCTGGATTGGGGTTTTTGGAATGGTGAGGGGGGAGAGGGGGGACCACAGGGGTGCTAGTGAGATGCGCCTGTCGCGGATGATCGAAGCCGTCGAAGCTAGGTAAAGTGAAGTTAGGGTTAGAGGTGGAGATCTGCTGGGTGTCTTTATTGAGCGCGGATTTCTGGGCCACTAAGGTTCGATGGGCGGGCCGCTTGGAGGGGCGGGGAGTGATCTCATCAGCCGGCTCGTCAACTGCATGGTTGGAGGCATAGATCACCCGGTCGTGGGCGGAGCCGTATCGCGAGGAGGCTTTCTGTCGGGCGTGTTTGAGCGCGCTCGTCGGATGCAGGATCGGCCGATCGGCCGGACCGGTCGAGCTCGATGGCTCGCCCGGTGAGCCCGGCACTAGCCATCCCGGCGGATGGGGCGTAGGGAAACATGAGGCCCGGGTCTGTCCCCCAGTGATGATCGTTTGGTCGTAGCTCTCTTGGACGATCCGATTCACTTGTCCAGTCGGATGGGTTTGTGGAGGCTCAGTGGACGAAGGTGGGGGATCTTCGACTTGCTTCTCCTTTCCCTTTCCGTTGCGAGTGAGAGGAGGAGCTTGGAAAGTGTGTTTGGAGGCTTGACTGGTGGAAGGCTGGAGATGATTCCCCGTCATGGCCGAATAGTCGATCTGATTTGGAGCGTCCCAGGTCTGGACGGGTTGGTCTTGCAATGCACTGGGTAGACGTTTCAGACGGGCCCGCGGGGTTTGGTTCTTGAGCTTCTGCAGCCGACGCGACGCCTCTTCATTCGCAAGCAAACGCGACGCGACCGCGGTTGGCCGGATTGTGGCGGGAGTGCTCGGATAAAAGCCGGCGATTTTCGGCGTGGTAAGAGTGGTCTGACCGGCCTCAAGTCTCGGATTCTGGAGAGTTTGCTCTGGTTGGCCTTCTTCTTCTGGGTTGACATAAGACGTGTTTGGCTCGGTCTGACGTTGTGCGTCTTCTGGATCGGTCGAGTCGGATCGAGCGGGATCGAGGTCGGCCGGGTCCTGGAAGAAACGCAAGCAGGCGGGGGTTGAGCATGGGTACTTGCGAGTGCGTACATAACTGGCCCACCAACAAAAATATTGAAAAGGGAGGAGAAGGGGGGGGGGGGGGACCAGTGGCAAATACTTGAGCATTTGTCGCGCCCGCTTCCTCTACTACTAATAGCTTGGCAGGAGGCGAGGGAGAGAAAGGAATTAGACCAGAGAAGAAGGGAGACTATCAACTCACCATCGAGCTTCCAGAGGTCAGCAGATCATTACTATCGTTTAATCTGCGAGAGAAGGTGACTTTTTTCTGGGCATCAGAGGGGCCACGGCCGAGCGATTTCTGGGCGGGAAGATTGTTATGAACGGAGTGCCGGCTAGGGTTATTAAGGTCCGAGGACACAGGGGGTTTGAAAGTGTCCTCGGGACTGTCGTCGGTGTCTGAGGTGGATTCCCTGGTGGTCATCAATGGGCCTGATCGCCAGCCATCCTTGGAGATCGTGTTCTGTGACAACAAAGGCTCTTGGGGTTGCTTGGCAATGTTCTGCGAACTTGAGGTCTTGGTCGGATGATGCCCGAGCTGGTTGTGTGCTTGAACGCGTTGCGTAGATAGAGCTTTAGACGAAGCGTGGGACCTGGAGGTGACGTTGGTAGATAGACCATTGGTTCGGTTAACTGGAGCAAATAAAAACACGTCCATATCACTTATATTTCGGTCGTAATGACAGTCAGGAAAAAAAAAAGAGTTGAAGGATCAAACATACCATTGTCGATCGGAGGGTCGGAAGGGATCCGACGCGTCTCTTGGTTTTGTTTATCGAATCGACCACGCAGATGTTCGAGTGGGGGGCGAGGCTTGGGTTTGGGCTCGGTCTGATGATGCTGGACAGGTTTGCTGCTGTCGAGATGAGGAGAAATGTTGTTTTTGGTGGTTTGGTTCACGTTGGGAGGCATGTCTGAATGGGCGACACTGTCAAAGAGAGCGGCCATCCGTTTTGTGCCATCATTCGGATCGAAATTGAAGGTCGCGTCTGGGTCTTGATCTTCTCGATCTTCTGGTGGTGCATGATTATTATCCTGATCCGAGCTGAGACTGATCTGATTCTGCTTGAGGCTTGCCATGATGGGTGCAGTTTCTGAGTGATTTTGGAGGTTGTTGGTGGTCTGGTTTAGGGATCCTATTGAGCGTCGTTTGGCAGTAGTCCGGCTGAGTTTGCTGGGTGAGTTGATGAGCGTTTTGAATAGTTTTTGATCTCGCTCTGGTTGGAATGGTTTTCGCTGAGGATGATGGAGATGAGTTTGAGGTTGTAGTGGATGGGTTGGGAGTGCTCCTTCTGCCTCGAAGATGTGTATTCCAGCGGTGGCTTGGTATTCTAGTCTCTGCTGCTTCTCCTTCTCATCCTGTAGTTCGTTGACGAGTGTTGAGCTGCTCGTCGAGGCAGTCGGGTTGAGGTTGTTGTTGTTGTAGTTGAACCGATTCGAGTGAGGTGGTCTGCTGGCCATCCTGGTTTTTTGCTCAAGTCTTGAAGGAGAAGCGAAAGTGGCGGAAAGTTGTCCAACCCTGAGATTCCAGTCAACTCAGTCATCAACTCGAATAAAATAAAAATCTTAAACAATTGCCATCTTCAGAATCAACACTCAACAAAAAAACACCAACTCCGGAATATGACCACTGGATGTATGCGCAAAACAAACAACAACACAACACATATTATGGACATACCACTCAACACATGAGTAACCTACACTAACGTAACTGGCGATCAAGCGAATTACAGGTGGGACTGTTAAATCCACTGTCATCCAGCCGGACAAAACCCTACAAAACCTCGCTTGGAGATCTCAGCTGCACATAAACTTCTTCATGCTTGCAAGCCTTGAAGATGTTAATTCGACTATCCTGGACAAATCGTTTCAATCCCTCTATTTTTGCTCTTAAAATTCATTCAAACAGCCTACCCAACAAGCTCAATCATCTTATGTAACCTTCGCCAAAACTGAAACCCATAAGTAGCACTATTCGGCCTCGATTGAACATCCCACCTTCGTCTTTCAATCGGCAAACCACAGCTTCGCAGGCCAGCATTCATACGCCCACCGTCGAAACACCATCAACGTCGCCAGTTCGAACCTTTCCAAAGCGCGACTCTTCCCCATCAAGCCAGTAGATAGACCATCATGCGTTCCATCGGCCTAATAGTCACAATCGCAGCCACGCTTGGGGGGCTCTTCTTTGGGGGAACGCTCTCGATGTCGACCCTTCGGGCAGACCCAGGATGGCACACATTCGCCTGCGACCCTTCAGATACAATCTGGCAAGTCCAAGACAGCAGATGTGGAAACCCCGAGTGTCCCCAGGCGCAGACTGGAATCCCGCAGGGCAAGGGCCGACAGTTCTGCAGACGCTGTTCTCAAGCATCTCTCTGGATCCCACTCAGTGCATGCCCCTATAACTTCAGCGGTTGCAACTCGATCTCAATCCCCTCAAGAGTTAGTAGTTTACATGACCCACAATGTCAAGGTGGAACTGGGGTACACCATTCAAGAGCTCTCTCCAACTGCATCAGGTGTTCAGCAAGCTTTGAGCAAATGGTCTGGACATGCTTGTATCCTGATTGCAGGGTCACCTTGGATACTGTACCCATCTGCCAGAATTGCAAACGTGCATCTGGAACCTGATTCATCTGACCCCCCAGCCAACATTAATGTTATATGTGCATAAAAAATTTAAAAAAATAAAATAAAAATATTAAATAAAAACACAAAGAAAAAGAAAATTAAAAAATCAGAAAAAGGGGGATTTGTCAATGTACACACATACCCACACCCCTTTTTATAGGCAAGTGCAGCTGAATATATACTCCTTTTGTTTCAGCAAGACCCTCACACTTCCTGCTCCGTTTTGACCCCATGAACTCGTAATAGGGGGTCTCAAATATAAGCAAATCCGGCATCTGGTTTTGAAAAAAAAGACCACCATTTTCTTAAAACATCTTGGGAACTGACTGGTCTCTAATGGCAGATCTCTTTTTTTTTATTTCCCCCCCCCCTAATTTGTCTTTTGGATGTGGCATGGTTGCAACATCCTGAACATTAAAGATATTGGAAACATCATTCCAATTCTTACATTTTTTTAAGAAAAAAAAAACTCATTGTATTAATGGACAATTCTCTGAAGAAACCAGTTATTTTGGGGGACACAAATTAAAATTATTTTCATTGTTTGTTGTAAGCACTTCAGTAAATCCTTATTACCTAACTTAACTAAGTCCCACCTGGTGGCAACGATGAAACGGATGTGATACGTGCATTGGCATCACATCACATTGTGCGTTCATCACATCGCATCGGAGTGAGCAATGCAGGGCCCCGCATTGTATTGCCTGCATTGGCAAAACCAATGCGGAGTATTGGCATCACATTGATTTCCAAAGCAATGCCCAATACTTTGCTCGGGATGCCAATATTATCAGCAGGCATTGTTTGAGGTCCGCTACACTAACGTTAGTGGGTTGTTTAGTGCAGCTGTCAGCCACAGAGCACCTTTCACAGTACGTGAAATGTACCTAGTAACTGCAAATAATAATGATTAATTGAATACAGGAAAATATTATACATTGTTGTTAAAATAATAAATCAATAAATATGTATTTACATTTAATCTTAATTCATAAATTATATTTAATAATTCAATAGTTAACTGTGAAATCCTCTTGAGTATTGTACATATAATATCACTAGGATTTCACAGAACTCATTAGAATAAGGTATTAAAATAGTATTTATTCTTATACATTATGTATATATTTTATAAGCCATAAACTAATTACATATGTGTAAGAATCAGCTAGTAGAAGTGTGAGATGGATGAGGAATAAGCTATATAAACTTATCTGAAGCTTACACATCCTTAATCACATCATCAGGGCATCAGATTGCATCATAAACCTCTTGGATGGCGTCATCAGCACCCTTTTGTGCTCTAATTCAAAGCTTGCATAATTCAAAGTAGCCTACACGGAAAAGGAGCCCAAATTCTACATGCTGTTGAGGCATGAGATGATGGTTTTGAATGAAGAAGAGAAAACATCATACTCTGTCTCGTGTCCAGGTGTCTAGTGAGCAGATGGTGACCCCTAAAAGGGGTTACAACACCCCCCCCCCTCACCTAGACACTCTACACCGAGACAGCTATGTACAAGGTAAGATGATGGAAAAAAGGAAAAGAAAAGGAAAGAAAAAAAAAAAAAAAAAACAGACAAGAAAACATGAGCCAGAAAATTGAAACCACACGCAATATAGGAGGCAACACTATTAAGATCAATCATAATGGTCTCAAGACTCCAAGCAGGTGTCCACGAAGGCGCTCAAAAGGTTCTCTTGTCAGTGACTTTGTAAGGATGTCCGCCAGTTGTTCTCTGGTTGGCACCCATGTCAGGGATGTCTTCTTCTCGTAGATTGCTCTATTCGTGATATGGAACTCTCTCTCCGTGTGTCTTGCTCTCTTGTTAGAAGATTCGTCCGTCCCAATTTTCACCGCTGCCTGATTGTCACAGTATAGTTGTCCAACGTGCTCCGCTCTTGTGATATCCTTCAGAAGTTGTCGGACCCAAAGTACTTGTCGAGTCGCAATCCCCAAAGCCATGTATTCCGCCTCACAAGTTGATGCTGCTACCGTTGCCAATCGCCTAGACGTCCACAGTATCGGGCAGCCATATACTGTTAGAAATATCCCGTAAGTTGACTTAGCATGTTCACCACCCCAAGAGGCATCACAATAGCACTTCAGAATCCCAGCAGTCTTGTCCGGTTTGATGATCATCGTCTGTTCCTTGGAGTAAGCCAGATAGTTGACCAGGTGGCGGACCCCCTTCCAGTGTGTCGGACCTGGACAAGCTGAGAAACGTGCTAAGAAGTTCACTGCAAAAGAAAGGTCAGGTCTGGTCCCCACCGCCACATAGCTCAGAGACATAACCACAGAAAGATAAGATGTGCTAGTGGAGACATCACCCTCTTGCTCTGAATTGATATCAAGGTTAGCTGGAAGGGGGGTCTTGGCTGTCGACACACCATCCCAATGTTTGTCGAGTATCTCCTGAATGAGTTTACCCTGACTCAAAACAAAGGAATTATCTGTGCGTTGAATGTCGATGCCTACCATTGAGTCAATTGAATTGCTCCACTTGATTTCCAGTTGGCCTGTAAGAGCTTTCTCCAAATCGAGCAGCATTTCCGTATTGTCCCCTGTTACTATTCCATCGTCGACATGTATCCAAATCACGCCTGTCTTCCCGGGGTCTTTCAGAACGTATAAGCTGGTGTCGTAGTGGCTTGCCTCGTATCCGAGGTTGCTGAGCACGTTCTTTAGGTGAAGCCACCAACATCTGGCCGCTTGTCGTGTCCCATACAGCGCCTTTTTCAGTCGTAATCCTTCACCCTTCTTGAGTTCCATCCCTTCAGGCGGTTTAATCCATATTTCTTCGTCAATGTCTGAATTTAGGTATGCTGCTACAAAGTCAAAAGAGTGAACTGGCCAGTTGTTAGCTGCAGCTAGGGTTAGTACTAATCGCATTGAAACAAAGGTAGCCGTAGGGGCAAAAGTCTTGTTGAAATCTTTTCCTTCGATTTGAGTAAAGCCTTTTGCCACGTATCTTGCCTTATAGCGTGTAACACTCCCATCAGCTGCCTTCTTGATTGCAAAAACCCAGCGTCCATCAAGCTCCTTCTTGGGTGAGTCCATGATTCGAACCTCCCAAACCTGTTTCCTGTCGAGGTTTCCGAGTTCTTCTTCCACCGCCTTCTTCCAATGTTCCCAATCCACTGATTTCTTGGCCTGTTTGAAAGTGTTTGGTACTCCAACTGCATAAAAACCGCAATTGGTTAGGATGTCGTCAACAATCCGCTCTTCCTGTTCAAAAGCCAATTCATGGGAAAAATCTCCTAAAGATATGGTGTTAGCAGCTGGATCAGTGGATAACTGGGATGAAATTGGTTTATGAATATCATTAGGTCGAGCCATCAGGGGTCCTGGTAGATCCTCAAAACTTGCCCAGGCAGAGGAAATTAGCTTGTCAGTTTCAGGTATCCAGAACTTCCAACCTTTGCTCTCTCCCAGGTGAGCAATCACATGTCCTCGGATGGCCCTATCTTCAAGTTTTGACCGTTTCTCTGGTGCCGTCACCACGTAAGCCACACTACCAAAAATCCTTGCTCGATCTAGTTGTGGTTTGTTGCCAAAGAGTGCTTCATATGGAGTGATTTCCCCACTTGTCTTATTTGGTAAGCGGTTGAGCGTCCATGATGCCCATTCAAATGCGAAACCCCAGAAACGTGTAGGAAGTTTGCTGTCGCCAAGGACGCTTCGACCCATATCCGCCACTGTCCTGTTGAAACGTTCGACTACCCCATTCTGATAGTGGTGGTAAGGAAGACTGCGTTCGGCCCTGATGCCTCTGGCGTTAAGAAAATCTACCAAGGTGTTGTTAGCAAATTCTCCTCCATTGTCACTTCTCAACACTTTCACTTTCTTCTCTGTTTGTCGTTCTAGACGAACTATGGTATCCATGATATGCTTGTTAGCCTCATTCTTGTTAGCCATAATCTTTATTTCATTGTAGCCGGAGCCAAGATCTTTGAGAGAAAGTACATATCTACCACGGTTGTAGGTTTCCACTGGGAATGGTCCCATCAGGTCAACATTCAGAATGTCCAGGGGTTTTACAGACCTATGTGACCTGCCGAGGTTGTTTGTCCTACTTCCCTTATGTGTGGCACACACCGGGCACCTAATTTGACCAGGTGGTAGTTTCTCCGGAAGACCGAATGCTGCTTTTGCCTTAACCAATCTCTTGATGACCCTCAGGCTGGCATGACCAAAAATCCGATGCCACAGTAATAACGCTGCTTCATTCTTGGTCAGATCCTCCGGCCGCCAAGTGAAACTGGGATTGTCTTCCAATGGTGATTCAAAGATGTCTCCTGGGCTTCCTTTCTTATCTGTATTGGGACTCTTAGTAGTGGGTTTAGCTCTCAAGCAGTCAGTGGTAACATTGCATGGCATATTTTCATTTGGTAAAACAGAAGAGAAGGAATTGACAAGAGATAAATCTGGAACATGAGAAGAGAAAAGAACTGGAGGGATGGGCAAGGTAGGAGACAATCCAGCTTTAGGGTTGAATGAGGAAGGTGGGGATCCATCCGGGTTGGGCGGAAGCGGCCTTGGTAAGCACCATTTGTTTGAGTCGCGGTGGAAAGGACAAGAGAATAGGGGAGTCCAGTCCGGAGCAAAAATATCAAACGAGTCCTGTACATGATTATACAGGAAACGCGAATTAGACTTCCTCAGAGCTGCTAAAGAGATGAGTGTAGAAGACGCTTGCTCACAGTAAAGCACGCCTCTAAAAGTTACGATTTGCCCATTCTGGGTCGGAAATGATAAGTTCCCCGCTCCTGTGATAAAGGAGCCCCCACTTTTAGTGGCTACCCTGAGAGGTATAGGCTTGAGAAATGACTTAAAAGAACTAAGGGCGTACCTTTGGCCTGTCAAATGATGAGTAGCCCCCGTGTCTAAGACCGGTTCATCACCCTCCGCCACGGTGAGTTGTCGGAATCTTGGCTGGAAATGACCGTCGTCCACATCATCCAGTCCACCAATCTCAATCATCCGGGTTACGGGCTCTTGGGGACCCGTTTGATGCTCAGGTGGTTCATAGGAAGACGGAGACTGTTGGGGTTGATGATTGAGGTGGTACGGGG